CAGAAAAATCCTAGGGTCTATAAATACATGCAAAACTGAGTATGTGCATTCTATATCTTTTTTCTTTTGTCTGTTTTAATACAGGGCATCACTACATAGCCCTAGACAGCTCTGAACTCACAACTCTGTCAGCCTCCTGAGTGCTGATTACAAGAATTACATTACAACAGGTCCAAACTGGTAAGGAGCCCACAAATTTAAATAAAACCAACTTTAAAAGATATTCATTTAAGCCGGGCATTGGTGGCGCACGCCTTTAATCCCAGCACTCGGGAGGCAGAGGCAGGCAGATCTCTGTGAGTTCGAGGCCAGCCTGGGCTACCAAGTGAGCTCCAGGAAAGGTGCAAAGCTACACAAGAGAAACCCTGTCTCGAAAAACCAAAAAAAAAAAAAAAAAAAAAGATATTCATTTATAAAATTTTAAGAAAAGATACTTTCTTAAGTAAAAAAAATAAGTGCTGCTACAGAATTGGTATTTAATGCAAAGGATGGAGAAGAGAAATAGAATATTTTGATTTGACAAAACTCCAAACACACTATACTGCATATTGAGAAGCAGGGTGTTTCATATGATCAGTGTAACATTTATAAGACAGTGTGACTCATTTAATTAGGTCACTAGGGTGAGCGATGAGAAATGAACCAAACTGGTAGTACAATATCGCCCTCTGCTGGACTCAGCTGGTAAAGATAAACCTCAAAGAATTAGCAAGACTAAGTGGAATACTCTTCATTCCCAGTCTAGCCTAATGCTAGTCTGGGGCACCAGTGCCTGCTATGTGTGGCTTTCCAGAAGCCAGTAGTGAACGCAGGGCAGCAGCAGCAGCAAAAGTCCACATGGATTGAGACTCACGTCACAAGAAGGAGCCTGTACAGTGCAAGGTCACAGGCTACAAACAGATGTTACTGTTTCCTTAAACAGATGTGACATGTGTGTCAAACTGATTTCCAAACATTTGTGTTTACACTACAGATTACTACTGCTCTCAGCCTCAATGATGGAAGGAGATTTCTCCTTTGCGTTGGGAGATGCTTATTGCAGAGACTCACTAGTCAAACATCTGAGAATAATGGTCTATCGCTGTGGCATAGTGACTGAGGCTCAGCCAGAAACAGGACAATAATCACACATTTACAGTGCCTTCCCCGCCAAGGCCTGGGAGATCACAGAGGAAGAGGAAGGCGCAGAAGAGTGTAAAAGCCAGCAGAAAGGGAAGACTTGTGCGGCCACTTCCTCTAAATGGAAACATTCTCTCCAAGGACAGACACTCCTGAGACTCATGAGATTAGATGACAGCAAGCAAGTTCAGGAAGACAAGGGACTCTCGGGCAGAGCAGCTGGGTACGGGTTGCATAGAGATCCATGATGCAGCCAGCTCTCACGGGTCACCATTCTCGCTGAGGTGGCCTTTTCAGTGGCAGAGCTGCAGGAGTCACTCAGCTCCTGTATGTAATCCTAGGAGACTTCCTGGTCACCAGGCCCACCAGCTGGAGTCACACATCATTGTCCTCTTTATCTGAACCAAAAAGATGTGGACTCACAGGGGAGGTAATGCAACAGACTAAAACAGAAGGTTTCCTTAAAACTACGTTGGATCCTCACGAGGAAAAGGCTTTAAGAGCTTCCTTCTGCATACCTGCCATGTGGCCCCAGCCCCCGGGTTAATCTGGGATAGAAAACTTACCCTCTCTGGGAAGTCCTTTGGGATGAGAATTATTTCCGTCCTGCGTCTACCGTCTGCACATGGACTAGCCAAAATGCCACCTCACCTGTCCTTGCTCCTTCTCAAGCAGAAATCCATCTAAGCCGACACTCTAAGAACAGGGACACTAGGCAAAGACAACTGTCACCTTTCCATCCCACACGGGCTGAGACACAAACATTATCTACACTGTACCCCACTCTGTACCATCCCCGAGGACCACGTTAACCAGTGCCTACCTGCACTACTAAGATGTCTCTGTAAACACGTAATTCATTCCTTTACTTGGCAGCTGCTCACGTGTAAGAACCCACATTTATTCTTATTATTTCATCTCTGTAGATTGTTCCTAAGCTCTTGCGCATTAACTAGAACATTCAGCATGTCTGCTTGACTCTCACCCCGGGTCATGCAGGCCATAGTGAGGGTTCTCAGTGTACCTTCACTACAAGAAAACTATTCAGGAGAGAGTGGGAAAGTGCACATCGGGACCATCCCTGCACTTCAGTGACACTCGTGTTCCCATGTGCAGGTGTCATTGAAGGGCTTCTGTGTCCTACCTTCGGAGACCAGGATTTGGGAAGACAGAAAGTCAAGACCCAGCAACTATTTTCAGCATCTTCCCTCAGTGGAGTTCCACGCGCCTGACCTCCGGGCCATGTTTAGGAGCACTGGCCCGCTTAGCACTCGTCATTCGGTCAGCTCCTTTTGGAACAGACAGTCCAGCACAGTCCACCCAACTGTACCCAGGCCTGTTCATGTTCCAGCACTTTCAGGAAGTTATCACGAGAAAGAAGAGTGGTCACCTGTGGGTGCCGCCACTGCCACTGCCATGCTCTACCAGCCCTGCCAGATGCTACAGACACGCTCTGCTCCAGCGAACTTGCTCTGTGCTGTGCCTCCTCATGCTCAGTGCCCACAACTCACCCCGGGGCTCCTGGTCCAGAATCTCACTGATTCTGTAGTCGAGTCTCCAGCTGCTAATTTTCAGAATGCCTCACCTTTGGAGAAGGTGAACTACATACACTCAGTCTCCAACCACCTGGAAAGGGTGCTGCCTTTTCACGGCCCCGAGGACCACGAGCAGTCGCAGGCTGCCCCAAATCTACCTTGAAATGGAATTTACGAAGCCAGAACACTTGAACCCCTCAGGAAAGCCTCACTCTGCAGGGCCTTCATTCTCCCTAAAACGCACGCACTTTTGTTCTTGAGAAGGATCACATTTTCCCCGATAGAAGGGCCAGAAGCACAGGAGGATCTTCAGAACTCCGCTTTCTCTCCCATCCCCAGGCGTACGCCACACTCCAAACAGGTCCTAACTAACCTGCACATCTCCCTAGGAATTCTTGCAAGCGTTAGGCACTGGAGGGCCCAGTCCTCTGCTGCTGTTCTCACAGAGCTGAGCCTCCTTCTCATATCTGCATTGATGTGACTCTGTGACTTTCGAGGTTTTCTTTTGTTTGTAACTGATCTCAACTTTGCAAAATAAAACTCAACTGTTTCATTTGTCAACAGTTACATGGGGAATTCATCAGACTACTCACAATACTTTAAGTTTCTCAAAAGAAAGAGATTCCCTCTCTCCCACCGAGATCTCCCTCTCAACAGGATCTTACTATATAACCCAAGACCAATTCATGACCCCCTTGTCTCAGCATACACCTCATTTCTCATGTTTACTTTTTTAAAGTGAGTATTTCTTGAGCAAGCTTTTCCCATGTAGTCTAGGCTGGCCCTAAGCTCACAGCAGCCATCCCGCCTCAGCTCCCCAAGGGCTATATTTACAGGCATGGATCACCATGCCTGCTTCCCAATTCTTTATGGTGATTTTTCTTTAACCTTTCTTTTATTGGTTAGAATACTTTGGTTTGGATTAAGATCTGAACTTTTTCTTTCTCTGAACCGCTGAAGAATTGTAACTTCTCTTTTGGCTCAGATGTTGATGCCACTTTTTCTTGCATTGCTTGAAATTCACTTAATTTACCAAAATACATGTCCGTCTCCCCCCCTCAGGAACATAATTTTGTTTTTACTTCTTAATTTTGAGCTGGCAAGATGGTTCAGCAGGTAAAGGCACCTGTCAAGTTCAATACCTGAGACCCACATGGCAGAAAGATAGACTCAGTTACTCCAAGTTGTCCTGACTTCTACACATGTACACACACACACACCTGACTTCTACACATGTACACACACACACACACCTGACTTCTACACATGTACACACATACACACATACACAAACATAAAAATGTAAAAAAAAATTGAGTATTAGTTTTTCAAACTGTAGTCTTTGTAACAACACCACCAGTGACTTTGTTTAGAATGCCAATTCCTAGGCCCTACCTGACCGAATACAGACAAATCTCTGGAATGGTGCTTGGGAAACTCACCAGGTTGGGTTCAAATCCTGACAACCCTTCTGTCCCAGCGTCTAAATACTGGGATTACAGACAGAAGCCACCATGCCTAGCTATGAATACATCTTATACATGCTAAAAAGTTTAAAAACCAGTATTGAGGTGGTTTGAAAGAAAATGGCCCCCAGAGGGAGTGGCACTATTAGGAGGTGTGGCCTTGCTGGAGGAAGTGCGTCACTGTGGGGAGAGGGGCTTTGAGGTCTCCTATGCTCAAGCTATTCCCAGTGACAACAGGTGCTTGTGCAGCCTGAGGATCCAGATGTAGGACTCTCAGCTCCTTCTCCAGCACCATGTCTGCCTGCACACCGCCATGTCCCTCCATGATGATAATGGACTAATCCTCTGAAGCTGTAAGCGAGCCTAATCAAATGTTTTTTCTATAAGAGTTGTGGTCATGGTGTCTCTTTGCAGCAATAGAAACCCTAACCAAGACAACTATCTAGGAGAAGAAACTTCAAATTCAAAAGTTCTCAAATTATTCACTTTTTAGCTAAATGTGGTTTTTATCAACCCAGCTTCTTAGACTGTGGGTGGCAACCATATCTGGGGTCACATTACTGAATGTGGAGGGGTTGCAAGAAAAAAAAATGAACAACAAAAATTAATTCAAAGTCAACTATGTAATGAATCTGGGGCATTTCTGGCCACACTTGCTCATGTCCCATCATGCAACTCGATTGTAGTCTTGGTTCTGTACACACAGCATGCCCTGGATGGCCTCAAATCCTCACCATCTGGCTTTCACAGCAGTACTGAGAATACAAGTGTGAGCCTCTATGTCCGGCTTACATTCCCATCTTTGTTCACTTTTATTTTAGAGATTAGAAATTCCCAGCATACATTTCATATACGCGCTGAAGTGTGCAAATGACCTTACCTCTCTCACAGACAGCTGTGGCGGGAAGGAAACCGATAAAACCACACTGGTGAATTCAAACCCAGAGGCTTCAACCTTTTGGCACACCTAAAAGAATATTACAAATATATAAACTCCCAAGAATTGCTGAAAATGTGGCTCTAGTCATAATATTCCTCCCAGGAGATGGCATTTCACAATTTCCCAACATTCACTTAGGCCCTGGGGGCAGAGGCTCAGTAGCACTGTGGTGCCCAGCATGTGCCTGGCCAGTCTCTAGCACTGTGGTGCCCAGCATGTGCCTGGCCAGTCTCTAGCACTGCGGTGCCCAGCACGTGCCAGGCCAGTCTCTAGCACTGCGGTGCCCAGCACGTGCCAGGCCAGTCTCTAGCACTGCGG